TCTTGTGACATTGTCAAAATTTATTGTTGAAAATGCTAAAGGACCAAGACTACAGGACTTGAAGAAGTTGTCATGTCTTCGAGGCCAGCTTTCCATTTTGGATTTACAAAACGTTTTAGATGCTAATGACGCAAAGGAGGCCAATATGTTTGAGATTCAAGGATTGGATGACTTATCCTTGGAATGGTGTTCTGATAACCATGACGGGTGAAATCAAAGCATTGAAATGCAAGTCCTCAGATGGTTAAAACCTCATCAAGGTTTGAAACGATTGAGAATCAATTGTTTTGGTGGGTTGGAATTTCCATCTTGGATAGGTGATCCATCATTTTCCAACTTAGAGTACTTGGAGCTATGCAATTGTAAAAGCACTTCATTACTATCACTTGGGCAACTACCTCAGCTCAAAGAATTGATCATCACAGGCATGTGCACAAATGCTTTTGATTTTTTTAGTTATTGTGGCTTGTTTATATATATATATATATATATATATTTCAATTGATTTTGCTGTCTTTTTTGTGCAGGCATGGATGCATTAAAAATTATGACGCTTGAGTTTGACGGAGACAATTCTTTTTCAACTTTTCCAGCATTAGATTTACAAGACTGCCCTAAGCTGGTAGGAAAATTATCGAAATGCATTCCTTCTCTTAAAAAGTTGAAGATTTTCAGATGTCCAGAATTTCAATTGATTTTGCTACCTTTTTTGTGCAGGCATGGATGCATTAAAAAATATGACGCTTGAGTTTGACGAAGACAATTCTTCTTCAACTTTTCCGGCATTGGATTTACAAGACTACCCTGAGCTGGTCGGAAAATTACCGAAATGCATTCCTTCTCTTAAAAAGTTGAAGATTTCCAGATGTCCAGAATTGAGGTACTCCCCACTTAGTCTTCCATCACTTGAAGAATTGCATATGGAAGAATGTAGTGAGGTAGTATTGAGGAGTATGGTCAATCTCACCTCCCTCAAAACATTGAGTATAAAAAAAATTTCTAAACTGACTTGCCTACCCAAGAGTTTTGTTGAGTCCATGATAGCTCTCAAGGATATAGAGATTGTGTCTTGCACTGAACTTACTTGTTTGTGGGAAGAGGGAGTTAATATCCTAAACCTTGCATGTGTTGAGAAGATAGAAGTCAATGAGTGTGAAGCGTTGGATTCCTTGCCTGGTGAGATAATGATGTTGAGACTTGAAGAATTATATATTGGTCAATGTCCTGCTTTCCGAATGTTTCCAAGAGGCAAGTTACCCACCACGCTTAAAGTTCTGCGAATTTGGAAATGTGAAAAGCTAGAGTCTCTATCAGAAGGAATATTGATAAATAATGGTGATGCACATCAAATGTCGCAACTTGAAAGATTAACGATTGCCAGCTGTCCTTGTCTGAAATCTTTTCCAAGTGGTCCGTTACCCAATTCTTTTAAATGGCTTTATATCACTTATTGCAAGCAACTGGAATCTCCACCTCAAAGGATGCTGCAGTATTGCACGGAACTTAAAGTTATAAGTATTTATAGGGGTGATATGAAAAGTTTATGTTTTGAGGACATGCGTGGGCCCACTTATTTATGGATAGACAATTGTGATGCTTTGGAGTCGTTTTCCCTGTCCATCTCCAATCTTAAAGACTTAAACATATCAAATTGCAGGAATCTCAAGTCTTTGCCTAACAAGATGCACGACCTCACGTCTCTCAATACATTATATATAAGAAATTGTCCAGAGATCAAGTGCATTTCAGACAGTGATTTGCCACCAAACTTAACACGGCTTCAAATTTATGGGTGTATAGGGATCGAGTCCATTCCAGGCGGTGATTTGTTTCCAAACCTAACGGATCTTGAAATTGTCGACTGTCAAGGGATTGGGTCCATTCCAGACCGTGGTTTTCCCCCAAAACTTAGAAGTCTTACAATTGATTGCAAGAATCTGAAGAAGCCGATGCAGGAATGGGGCCTTAGCAACCTCACCTCTCTTCTATCCTTGGGGATTTATTGGATATGTCCTGATCCTGATGTGCTTCCCACTTCTCTAACCAGTCTTGTGGTAGGTAAGGTTGAAAATATGAAATCCATAGCTAGAGGGCTCCTTCAAAACCTCAACTCTCTTCAAGATTTAACAATCAAGGATTGCCCAAAGCTGCAGTCCTTGCCAAAGGAAGGCCTGCCTACCTCCCTTCAAAAGTTAAGTATTTGGAGATGCCCCAACTTGCAGTCCTTGCCTCAGGAAGGCCTGCCTCCCTGGCTTGAACAACTCTGGATTGGAAA